ATAACGCTATAGTAATTATAGAGAGACTAGATATAACGCTTATATATATTAGAAAGATATAGACAAAGATTCTAAATCTAATATAGCTATATTATATAAAGAATCTATAGAGAATATAGAGTAATTTTATATTTTATACGTAGTGTTCGCGATGCTAAGAAAAAGTAGCTAGCTTAGTAGTATAGCTAGCTTAGTAGTACTTTACATTAATAGAAATACTATAATAGACTTTATAGTATATATTCTTTAATAACTATAATATAATAAATATTCTTTTAGGTTTTAATAAACGTAATAGTACTCTATTATAGCTACTATCTAATAAATAGTATCTTACTATATAAGATAAGCTATAAACGCTATATTTTTATTATTCTAGCTCTTATTACTCTTATAAAGCATTCTAGCTAAGGCGTTTCTTTACTAAGTGTTAAAGTTAGAGAGTAGTTATAATTACGTAATTATAGACACGTAATTGCTTAGCTCTTAGGTATATATATAGAGATTTTATTCTAACTTTCTTTAATAGTATAAAAAATATAATATACTTAATAATCTCTAATTATCAATTATCTCTCTAGCTCTAATACTAAGGTGTAGTATTCTTAAAAGCTAAAGAGAGCTATAAGCTTAATATTAATCCTACTTTATATATTTAGTTATAGATATAGATAGCGTAGGTAATTAGATATATTCTAGTAAGATTATAAATAAGATACTTTTTCTATTACTTTAAAGATAGACTATATCTACTAAAAAGCTTATATATTTTACTAATAAGCTTCTTAAAAGTAAAACTAGAAGAGAAAATAATAAAAAGTTTTACGTAAGTCATATATATAATAGAAATAATAAAAATAAAAGTAAAAGAAATAAATATAATAAAGATAGATATAATAAAAATAGGTAAAATAGAAATATTAGTAAGCCTAGCGTATAGCTCTAAAGTACTAGTAAAGTAGCTCTTTAAAGCGCTTATAATAGCCTCTAGTATAGTATAAATAAAGTAGTTTATAATAGCTTTTATAATAGCTTCTAGAATAATAATTTTAAAAGAACTTATAGAGGTAGTAGCGTATTTAAAAGAAAAGTAATTAATATAGTAATAATAAAGAAGCTTAATTAAGCTTTAGTTAGTAAGGTAATATAAATAGTAATAAATTTAGCTTTAATAAACTTACTAATACTAGAAGAACTTATAAAAGAGGTATAAGCGAAAATATAGTTAGAGCTTATTTAGTATACGTATTAGTATAGCTTTAGTATTAGATTTAAGCTACTATTTACGTTTTTAATAAGTTCTTAGATCTCTAATTTATTATAAGTAGTAAAATAAAAATAGAAAGTATATATATAGTAGAAGTATAATTTTACTTACTAAAAGTTTTAGTATTTTATTATTTTATAATCTATAGTTTTATTAGTTATAAGCTATTAAGAATATATAATTATATTATAATTCTCTCTACTATAAGTAGATATTAGTATTTATAGATTAGTTACCTTACTAGCCTAAATTTTAGAAGCTTTAACTAGGCTAATACAACCTAAAAAAGTAAGAATAACTAAGATAGTATTCTTAGTCTAAGATAATATATATATAGATAGTAAGACTCTAGTCTAATAAGCTCTAGTAAGGTCTACTAAGCTCTATTAGGCTCTAGACTTTATACTATCTTCTCTCTTAAGTTCTAGCTAGACCTCTAGCTAGATATGTATATACTAGCCTTAAGTAGCTTATATATATTAATAGAAGCTTATCTATTAGCTAGAACTACACTAGTTCTAGTTAAGCCTTTACTTTAGGCTAATATATAGATTTCTTAAAAAAAAACGCTAAGCTTTACTCTTCTAGAGTAGAGATTTAAACTCTAAACTTAGAAAAGGTTTATTTTAGTTATTATATAAGAATATAGTCTTAAACTACTAAGCTAATATAACCTAAAAAAGTAAGAATAACTAAGATAGTATTCTTAGTCTAAGATAATATATATATAGATAGTAAGGCTCTAGCTTAATAAGCTCTAGTAAGCTCTAGGCCTTATAGTAAAGCTATAATCTATTATTAAGATATCTTCTTATACTATAGAGCTAATCTGTACTAGAAAATAGAGATTATAGTTAATATTATATTAAAAGCTTTTAAAGTAGTATAGTTTTACCACTATGTAGACCTACGTAGACTGTTGTAGTGTAAGCATGCTAGTCGCTATGTTCTAGATTGTAAGCGAATTCTCGACACCTCACGCAACCCGTACATCTCGAATTCCAGAACAACCCGGCAAACCATCGCACCAGCAAGGAACCTTCCGACGACCTCGAGCGCTGTGAACAGTGACAGGAACAACTCGCTTGAAAGTACCATCGTTCCATAAAGGACTTGCACCCAGACTAGCAGTCTGACTGCCCAGTCAAGTATTAACATCCAGTATCGGGTGCCTCTTCTCAGGCTGTCCTTCTTCTTTCTCCCAATACCATTCTTGCTGAACGCCAGCGGCGTTACTTCCCGTATCAACCATTCTCTCAAGCGCCCTGAGCCAGGAGGACACCAAGCGACCAACAGGGGATGTTGCCATGACACGTGCGATGGAGACTGATCTTCAAACTCGCTACCGAGATACAGAACACACATCCCAATCGCCTGAATTGGAAGTGGAAGGAAGACCCAGAGTAGCGGGGAGAAGCCTTCAGCCGTGTTACCGTATGTTCCGACAAGCGTTGAGATGAATGATATAGCCCAGAAGCTGAGCTGCCACCCCTGGATAACCGAGTTTGCCGCAGCTGTGCCGACGAGAATGTATTCAAAGCCAGATATCAAGGCTTTGGCCCAAAGAGGGGCGTCAATCAGCTTGTCTGGCCAGAGGATGTCGTCCGATCCACCTCCAGATGCATGGCCTATGTTTCTTACGGTTTCCAACCCCGAACGATCGCTCTCTAGTGTCGGACAGGAACTACCCAGACAAATCAGGGCTGCCAACACCGGACGCTGCATCCCCAATATCGCGATATCAGCCACCTTTGGTCCGATAAACTGTAGGGCCATGGGCAATAGGCCTAGTACGACGGATACAATTGCCATCTCCGTCTTTCGAATCTCGGTGAAGTTTTCCAGGATGCAGGACACCAGCACCCAACCACCTCGCCCTGGATTAGCTTGCAGTTCCGTCCATTCGGCTGCGCAAACACCGTTCATGAGTTCCTGCAAAACATCATCCCAAGCCCCTGCCGCGTAAAACTGTCTGAACTGCCCATTGTCGTATGCAAGAGCCGGCGCAAATCGCGAGAAGATGATAAACCCAAGAAGGGTCTTCATTGTGTCGGAGAGACACCCAACTACAGGTTTGATAATGCTGTCAGCATGTGGCTGTTGGCGCGAAATCTATATATGCTGCAAGTCAACAGTAAACGGGACGGTCCGCGTCGGGAGGCCATATGGCAGAGCTGAGCATCCGAACGGCTTGATCAGCCGACATGTAGCTGAAGTGGCCCCCTCAGCCGTACCTTCGGTATGTGGAGGAGAGACATTTCATTCGACGGTGAGCAATTTGTGATGCAAGCCAGCGGCGCTGTGCTACCATCCGAGCGTCATCCCCACCAATCGTTGAACCCCGGCATATCGTCGCAATGGCCAATTTGGGCGTCTCGGCAAGGAAAGGTTGTCCATTTGCCTCATTGGGTGTGCATGAAAGCTATATCAACGAACCATTGGATGCGCACTTGGCTGGAAAGAAAGCCAGATCTCACCTTGCGCCAGCGGTCCATCCCTGTAGCTATTGTACGACTGAAGGAACCTGCGCGTCAGTCGATAAAGTGGTGCATGCTTTGAGAGACGCAACATGAAGTGACATCTAACAGGTGTCGCATACGGTGACATGTTGCTCAAATACCATAAGTTTGCGAGTGATGAAGTTCGAGACTCTTGCTGCGACTCCATTGTGGGTACATGATCTCGTTCTCTCTAGAGATCCAATCTTTGGCTCGTTACTCGTTCATGCTATTTCGGCTATCGAGAGATAGAAGGTCCAATCGCGGGTAGCAATGCGTCGCGCTCTGCGAGGCTGTCGGGAAACCTCAAAACTCTTAGTTCGGGTCGCGATTCGTCACGTTCTGGTGGAGTTGGTAGGTACGGATCGAGCGGAATACCGCTTCCCAGAATCTCTCATAGTGTTAACACAAAGCGAACAAGAGTTGGCGAGCTCATGGTACGCCGGCTACGCTGGGGTTGCGAGTCGATAGCGACAGGATCTGACATGTTGGGACGCAAGGTTCCGCGAGAGACAAGGTACTTTATTGTGACTGGACAGATGGACTGCCAGGATGTTTGTGTACGCACACTAAAAGTTGACACCTCGAAACCGTGATTTGTTGCTGCGTTGGTAGCGTGCACATCCTTCGCACAATCCATGCTTCCCTGGGCTGCGCTGATATGTAATAATGCTACTATCCTACATAAAGTCCGTAGTTTGTTATCCTACACCCTGTCAAACCAACGTTGGAGAAACCACCCACCTAACTGAACATGATGGCCTTTATCCGTGAACGCCCCTGTCAACCCTTTTCAAATACCTGTCCTTTAGATGGCACCATTGTAAATATCCCTCAAAATCGGTCTGCCATCCAGCACGCCCCTCTTTCCTGCTGTGATGACTTTGCCGGGTATCCTCTTCTCTTCAGGACTTCCACTCGTGCTTTTACTGCCAATTCTTCTCTTTGGACTCCTAGCGTTCACTTTACCAGGTTTCGCTGTGAGATCGCCAAGTGCCTTGCGCTTCTTCGACGGGCTGGGCGTCAGGCTAGGGCTCTTCGCCATCTTGTTGGCGAACAAGGAAGAGGTCGACTGTCTCACAGGTGTCTTGCTTGTTTGTGTGATGCTTTCGTCGAAACTATGCGATTCGACCATATCGGGTTGGAGATCAAGTACCCAGTCTTTCTCTCGGCAGAGGGCGACCATATCACGCAAGAGCTCGTTGCTTGACAAGGTCTTCTCACTACCGACGATCACAAGTTTCGATCGCGCGCGTGTGAGCGCAACATTGACGCGCCTACGATCTTTTAGAAGATCACCAACTGTGCCGTTCTCGTTGCTCCGTACACAAGACACGATAACGACTTCCTTGTCGCGGCCTTGAAACTTGTCTGCTGTATGTAGTTCCACACCCGCACAGCCTTGGCCGTTGATGACGGGGGCAGCGAGTTCAGAGGATTGAGTTTGGGTGTGTGCAGAAGCCAGACTTTGTCGCAGCAGGGCGAGCTGTGAACGATAGAATGCTATGATGCCAATCTCTCCCGCAGGGACACCTAGGCTGAGAAGAGACACCGTGAGCTGTGTGACAAGCCGTGCCTCCAGGGTGTTGGTGATGCGCGACCCAGATTGCGCTTCTAGGGTTGATGAAATGAGATCGGTGTTGACGAACACAACAGGTTGATCCGGCGACAAGGAACGAGATATCCAACAACGTGCGGTATTAGGGCCAACGCAAGGCTCTACCTCATTAGATCTTGACTGATGCGAGCCATGGTGGTAAGCAGTCAGACCGTCGGGCCGGGGGAGGGTAAGCTTGCGGGAAGCGACAGCAGTCGTACCGCACTTCAGCCTTCCTGAGTAGATAAAAGTGTTTGACAACAGCATGACTTCAGCACACATTCGATACTGATGCTCCAAACTAACGACGGCCTGTGGATGAGCCTCGCAAAGGAGCTTAAACAGTGACACATCAAGTCCGCCCTCCATGGCTTCCTTGTTCTGGACCAGTGGGGGCAGCTGGTAATGGTCGCCCACCAAGATGAACTTCTGAGCCATACGAATGGGCCCCAAGCATACAGGTAGAGTGATTTGGGATGCTTCGTCAACAATGCAGTAGTCGAAGACGCGGCGGTTGAACAAGGGATGATTGATGGTCAGACACGTTGTAGCCACGACTGGCGGCTGCATCCACGATCTTTCGAGCTCTTCGAGACTATCTTTCGGTTCCGCAGCAAGCGTGGCAAATTCTCTAACTTCAGGATGGATCTTCTTCGCAGCACCCAAGCGTAGTATGCCGATCTTGTCATCTCGAATCTTGAGAAGGATGTTGTCGACGGCAGTATGGGTGTACGAAGTAAGTAGGACACTCTTGCCTTTCGCCACTAGGGTACGAATGATGTGCGCGATCGTGGTGGTTTTTCCAGTTCCAGGCATGCCCAACACGAGGGCATAATCTTTTGCAGACATGACCTTAGCAACGGCAGTGCGCTGATCAGAGTTCATGGACATTTGCGATGACTGAGGCAATGACAGCGCATCTGGTACGGGCTTGAACGCAGGAGCTCGACCGTCTACGATTAGCGCGCGAAGGTCGTGGGCCTTGTATACACTGTCGTCCATGATCTGGATGAGATTGTTGCGTGCTGCAGCCATACCATTGCTGAATTCGTCTTTGTCAAGACGATACAGTACGGGCTCCTCATCAGATTGAAACTCCGCCACAGTCTCGCCTTCTTTGGTAACCTCCATGATACCAGCAAAGGTTTGGTTGTTTTGTGAATGGAAACCGGGTAGCTTGGTTCGAGAATTGTGCAAACGTTTGTCAACAGCGACAGTTATACGACGCTTTCTCACGTTGGTGACGTATCCGTTAGCCAACGCGAAATGGCCTTCCTCATCCGAAACTACAACAGGCTCTCCGATGATGAGCTGAGACTCGGTGAAGGAAAACCCTGGAGCCGGCTGCTGTTTGATAAACGTGTAGTTGTAGCGGTTGATCTTTTGGCCGTTCTTGTCTTCATGGGCAGATCCAGGCTCCAAGATGACGTTCGAGAAACAACGACCGAGCTTTTCCCGTTCGGTGCTCAACATGGTCCACAACTCTCGTCGAAACTTCATCATATCCGTCTCTTCTTTGGTCAACAGCGTGTCCCACTTCTTCATGAACTCTTGATGGGAAGGTTGGAGAGGCTTCACGAGCTCGTCATATCTTTCTTTCGCCTTCGGGTTCAACATCTCGCCTTTTCCATCCTCAACGAGATTATGATACAGGAAGCAAGGTTCCTGTGCGTAACACTTTTGACACTTGAAGTCTTCCTTCAGAATCGGTGGCAACTCGATGCGATCTCGAACATAGCAGGCCAACTCATTGCGCTTGATGATCATGTGAATGATGTCGTTGCGAATCGCAGGAATACGGCTGATTTCGGAAGTCTCAAGGTAATACAAGATACCGTAAGCAATGTCAACGTCTGGCAAAGTTAGCGGGGGATGCAATCTGGCTTGGAGGACGTACCATATCGATTCGACAACAATAGGTTGTACAAAGCGGTCTGAGCAACGTGTGCAGCGTTCGAAGAGTTCTTGCCAGTCTTGACTTCGAAAGGCACTGTCAATGTGCGTTCCCCGAGATCATCGCGCATTGTCACTTGCACAGTAGCATCGATGTTGCCTTTCAATCCATACATTGGAGACCAGACGTGCTCTTCCACATCAAGTAGTTTGTTAATGCTCATGGTCGACTGACGTCCGTTTCGCTCTCGAACGACGGCATCAGCTTGAGGTTCTGCGCGAACGAACACCTTAGCCCATGCCTGTAGCTCCGGCAGCTTGCTGCTCAGATGCTCCTTGACGGCTTCGCACGTTGAATTGATCTCCAGTATGGTCTCGAGATGGTTCGGTAAGAGCGTTTCGATGGTGTCCAATAAGAATACAGAACTCCATTCGTTCGCTTTCATGGCTTTTTGGAACAACTCGTGGAGCAGTGTGCCGTAGAGCATTGGGGCGTTCGCCTTGCTTGTGGCCTTTACACGGTCTTGCAGCACCGCACGTCGTAAACACCCAAAAGAGTCAGCGACAACAGTCGATGAGATGAGATGATCAGGATGAAGAATGAGCATGTTGTGGTGATCATCAATGATACACTGTCCAGTACTTGTAAAGTCACCGATGACATGCACAAACGATCCCGTAGTGCATGGGGTATCGAACCAAGCTTGACGTAGAGTGATCGCCTTGAATAACTTTGTCTTCTCTTCCTCGACGAGCAAAACCTACACGGTGTAAGCTGGGGCAGGCAAAAGACGTTTGGGTTAGTGACTTACCTTTTCGGACATCTGGTAGCCGCGATCAGTGGTATATGAACTTTCGTCCACTCGCTTGATAAGGTAGCGCTGGATTGCTCTATTGTCCTGTTGACTCTTCGAGATTTAGTAGGCTTCTTTAATCAGGGGCAAGTTCACACTCTACTTACAGTATTGGCAGGTACTTGGGTGGCTGCAACTTCGGCGGCAGCGAACTCGTCAGCATCAATGTCCTCTCCGAAGTCATCGTCGTCATCATCGTCCAAAAGACTAATCACAGGTGCTGATACTGCACTTGCGGTAGCTCCTACGCCTTCGGCCTCTGCGGTCTGGCTCTGATCTGCCATTGGAGACTCTACAGATCGCGTATCGTACAGCGATGCTACATGTTCCAGATCCGCAGCGAAGTCGTCCTCGTCATCCATGCCAAACTCATCGTCGTCACTGCCTTGTTCTGGTGCTGGGTCTGCATAGTGATGTTGTGCGGGTGGATGGATGGGCTCGGTGGGTATGGTAACGTAGCTCGTGGAGCGTGCGGGTGGCGCGGACTTGGTGGGCGGTGGAGGTTGCACAGGTCGAGGCGATATGTCCAAAGCTTCCACCATGTCGGCGTCGAAGTCATCTCCGAAATCATCTGAGGATCCCTGCGATGCCGGTGGCTTCGGTGCCGCTTCCACGTAATCGTCTTCTCGAACGAGCTCGTCATCCATGTCCACGGTATCTTCTAGAGGTGCCGACTCGTGGCGTATTGTTTCGGAGGTTTCTGCCAGATTGTCGCGTGCACGCCGCTGGAGAGGAGAGCCCGACGATTGGTCCTGGCGATCGCCTGCCCCTGGTAACGGAGATGAGCTCGAGGGCATCTGTGACGATATGCGTGGCTGTGACTTCGATACGCATTCCCTCATGCGCTGGACCATGCTCGCAATGTTGGGTTTCGCGGGCTGTCCAAGCATCATTCCATTCGAACTAGATGCGCCAGCGAAAACGTCCTCTGTAGCTTCCTGCTCCGGCTGGAACACACCGTGGGTTCTCCGTTTCTTCCGGGTCGATGCTGGGAACTCTACGCCACAGCTTGCCCATCTCCGAAGTCCACTGACACTTCCAGCAGCAGCCATCGACCTAGGTGACGATTCGTTGATGAGATGTGCAAATGCCACGCTCTTGTTGGCGCTTGGTGTTCCCTTGTTGTTCGTGTACCGTGACCACAGCTCCATGGCAGGATCGGCCTGGGGTGTTGTGATGTCTTGCCTCGCACCGTCCAGTCTGTGTTCGTCTTGCGACGGTCCGACGGGCGAAGAGCTCCGAGCGCGTTTCTTGTTCTTCCGGGGCAAAGGCGTGTTGACTGCTTGCGAGCCTCTCCATATCAGCGTCTCTTCGGGCGAGGCGACAGGTTGCGGCGCGTGTCTCGAGGAATCGTCGACGTTGCCTACCAGATCCGCAAGCGGCAGCCTCGTAGTGGCGGGAGTTGATGGCGGCGGACAATCGAGAATGGTGGGCAGCTTTGGAGTCTTGTTCGTGGTTCCCACATCTTTCGCGACACGATTCGCTTTTGGTGTCCCCATGGGCTTTGGTGTCTTTCCGCGCGCGGTCGGTAGATTTTCCTTCTCCGCCTCGCGCTGTCGGAGGGATTCCGCGGTGGGCGCGCCCTCGATGAATTGGAAAGCTTTGAGCTTGGTACGTGTCTGGGTCGAAGGCATGATGGGAGGGCCAGTAACTACCTGCCGAGCCTGCGGCGCCGCCTGGTTACTGTTTTGGTGGGGGAAGTTGCGTGGGCGGTTCCATTGGCCCTTGAACTGCTGCTGCGAGGGTGAGAGGTGAGTAGGCGGCGGCAGTGAAGGCAGCGGGCTATCCAAGTACCTTTGGCTTCGGGTTCTGGTCAAAGAAGGACCTCTGTCGCGTGGACATGGAGATGGTTGGTAGCGTCAGCGTCTCCAGAGCACCGAACGCGAGAGACGCGTCGTGAGTGGCCAATCACGTTGGGCGAGGCGAGAGCTCGTGGCGATACGCGCTCGGGCCGGCTGCTGCGAGCCGATGTGCGACACAGCTCCGAGTGCGGGGACCTGCGCTGGCCTGAACCACTCTTCACATCTATGGGACATGCAGACACGATTGAATTTAGGCTGTTCGATTGGAGACTACATTAAATTGAGGATCGTAGACAATCCCGGTCTAGGCCGACCGACATGTGCAAGCTTCCGTCATAGTCCTCGGACATCCTGAAAGATACAGTCACGGAATTGACACGACTTGACGTATCACAGGTAGCTCCGCGTATCACAAAAGTAGCAAGACATGTCTAGAGGCAGGGACGGGTCAGATAGTCGCTTTTGCGCCAATCGAAATGGTGTCAACCGATGACGGGAAGCTAGGACCACGCCTAAGCGGAGTTTGGACATTCATCCCACGCTCTAGCACTCTTTCCCCAGATTGTGCGCGCCGACCGTGAATCGCTCACCCAACAGCGGCCATCTCTCTTCTCTTCCCCTCAGCCACCTCATTACCTCCCACCACAACCGCCAACATGTCTGCTGCCGATGCGAAGCCATTGCCTTTTGTCTACCAGTTCGCGGCTGGTAAGTTCCAATTCTCGTAACACCGCTCAGCTCCGATGCGACAGCTACCCGAGAGAAATCCGGCTCCGCACCAAGCAAGAAATCTATACGCGCTTCTCTCCGATTATCGCACAGGGCATTCCTGCGTGCCAGTTGAGCTTCAGCTATGTCAATCAGTGCTAACAATGTCCAGGTGCCGTGGCTGGTGTGTCAGAAGTGAGTGCGCAACTGTCTATGGAGCTCGCGTGAGATCAACTGTGCTAATGCAGCTCTTGTAATAGATCCTGATCATGTATGTACCACCCTGCACCCACACAGTCGAGGCTCAAGCACTAACACTATCTCAAGGTACCCGCTGGACGTCGTCAAGACCCGGATGTAAGCGACCGCCTATGACACCGCCTCTGGACCGCCTCTAAACATGCGCAGACAACTTCAGACCTCTGGCAAGGTGGTCGGTGACGAGGGCTACAATGGCATGATGGACTGCTTCAGGAAGATCATCAAGAATGAGGGGTACGCTATGACGCTCCTGCGATCATGAGCAAGAGGGGTTGACATCTGCCAGTGCGTCGAGATTGTACCGCGGTATCACCGCGCCTATCCTTATGGAAGCTCCCAAGAGGTACGCGCTTCCCTGCTTCTTCATACCAACAAAGAAGGAAATCATCTCACGCGACACAGGGCCACCAAGTTCGCAGCCAATGACTCATGGGGTTCCTTCTACCGCAACCTGTTCGGTCAGGCTAAGATGAACCAGTCGCTCTCCATCCTCACCGGCGCAACCGCCGGTGCCACCGAAGCCTTCGTCGTCGTACCCTTCGAGCTCGTCAAGATTCGGTTACAAGACAGGGCGCAAGCCCACAAGTACAACGGCATGGTGGACTGCGTCACCAAGATCGTCAAGCAGGAAGGGCCGCTCACCCTTTACCAGGGTCTTGAGTCGACTATGTGGAGGCACATCCTGTGGAACGCTGGATACTTTGGCTGCATCTTTCAGGTCCGCGCTCTCCTGCCCGCAGCAACCACCAAGAAGAGCCAAATCACCAACGACCTCATGTCTGGTGCTATCGGTGGCACTGTCGGCACCATCCTAAACACTCCCATGGACGTTGTCAAGTCGCGTATTCAAAACTCTCCTAAGGTCGCAGGATCGATTCCCAAGTACAACTGGGCATGGCCGGCTCTCGGTACGGTCATGAAGGAGGAGGGTTTCGCAGCACTATACAAGGGATTCACACCCAAGGTCCTGAGATTGGGACCTGGAGGCGGTATCTTGCTGGTCGTCTTCACCGGTGTCATGGACTTCTTCCGCAACATGCGCGACGGCAAATAAGCGATGACCAGACTCGTCGTCAGTACGTGTAGTCTTTGGATTACTTTAACCGTTCAAGAGCCTCTAGGAATCTTGCAATGTAGATTACGTATCCTGTACCCGCTTGCTACAAACCAAGGCAGGGTGAAATCACATTCTTCAACCCATGTTATGACACGATGAACTCGTGCTAGCCATTTTGTTACTTTTGAGAGCATTGCTCTACTCTCCGATCATACATGAGCTTTACTAGATGGTATCGTCACTTTCGTTGTGGAAATGCATGAGATCAGCACTTTTCATACATCTAGCCCTGGAGAGCTGCCAGTAGAAGGGTTCCACTAACGTCAAGTTCGGCCTGAGTCTACGTGCGCGAAAGTTCAAAAAGCTTCTCTAATGGCTTGCGCTATCCCCCACGAGTAGAATATCGCACCCCGAAACCAGCGCAGTCTAACACATGCCAATCCCGCGTTCTATCAACCCCAAACAACCCCACTTACGCGGCTAGACACGGGTGACGTCACCCTCCCCTCCAAGCCCTCACCATAGCCCATCTTGCTGCCTGGTGACCCCTAAAGCCCAAACAAACAAGTTAGTTCACCAGTTGACGCAAGTGCCAGCCAGGGTCTACTTGCATAAGTACTGCGTCCCCTCTACCCCACTATCCAGCACTACAAAACAATCCAAACACTACAACAATCTCCACGATAAGACCACTCTCGAAACTCCGCGCAAGCAAACACGTACATCTACACAGACTCTATACCACCCGAACACCACCGCACAACATGCCTCTCGTAGTCCCCGGTCTGCAGTCCAAGGACGGAAACTCCAACGATGACTGGATGAGCAAGCTTATGGGCAAGAAGCTTGGAGACCAGCATGATGAGATGGTGAGTTGCCCCCTACTATTACTTGTCCCCTTATCCTATCCCTCCGCCTGCGTCACAAGGCTAACTCAAAGCTATCCTCAGACTTTCGCAAAGACCGACCTCCCCCAGCAACACCGCGTTCTCAACGAAGGCGACATGAAGACCATGGACTTCCAGCCCGAGAGGCTGAACGTTCACCTCGACAAGGATGGTACTATCAAGGAGGTCACCAAGGGTTAAGCGGCTGTCTTATGGCACGGTCGCTGGGTGTGAGGGCACACCTATGATGGAAGAAGGCATGAAGGCATGAACCTTTGAGAGCCAGGCCCCAGGTCTTGTTAGTAGGCATATCAGAATATATCAAGTCACAGAAGTATAAGCCATCAGTGCGCTTGCAGTGATCAATGATAAGTGATAAGTGATAAGTGATAAGTGATAATTAATGAGAGTGTATCTGAAAAGAGATATCTGTCGCCACCTCCCCGACTAAAGTAAACAACAAAACGCCGAAAACGCCTTACAATGATATCGTACAGTAAATGTGAAAGTATATACATCCGTACAAAGAAAGTAGATGTCACGCCTAGATACCCACGAATGTTTCCGAGATAGTAGAAGAGTAAGGCTGCGGCTTGTCAGCCTTGGACCTAAGCCCTACAGCCCTACATGAGCACGGATACCGATTCGAGGTGGAGCATTCGGAGACGCCGAAAGACATCGCCACTGTGGAGAAAGCTTGTCGCAACGTCGTTTCCTTGGGGTTGTGCACATGGTAGTTCTTCAATTTCTCGATCGCTTCCTTGACACGAAACTGTCGTTCCTTATCATCTGTCCCTCAGCAGATTTCCTGCCTAAGGCTGCAATAAGATCAGTCATTCTGAGCATCGTGGAATGGATTGCTTCAGGATGCTCAAAGCACAGCATGATGCATGCCCGCATTGTCGTTGCAGAGAAGTATCTTCGCACGATCTTGTCTTTGCTTTTGTTGCTTGCAGCTCCCATGACCAGACCAATCCATAGCAGCACTCCAGCCATATCGGACCAGCAGTCTGTGATGTCGGATTTTTCGAGGGCTTCTCGCAGTTGGCGAAGCATGGTGTCTCCGCTGACTGTTCGTGTGAAAACTTGTTGTTGAAGGGGGACGTCCGATGAGCTTGATTGCAATGTCGAAAGTAAGGGTCGTGAGAATGTGGATGAGTTTGATAAGCGATGGTTAAAAGGAAAGCCTTCGCTGTTTGAACCAAACATTGGACTCTCGGAAACGTCGGTAGCCGGACTGACGTCCCGGAGTTCAAAGGTCGAGGAGATAGAGTCATTGGAAAATGAGGCCGCGGACGAGCTCAGCTCATACATGGCCGGTTGCAATTCCGGTACCTGCACACGGTCGAGCGCCTCTGATAAAGGTACTTGGTCAAACATGGCCTGAGCCTGTACAATCGCTGCAAGACGAATCGCTTCATACTTCCAATCAATCTTATTTAAAATGGTCGTTCTGCGAGATTGTTGTACAGACCGAGATCCAATGATGCGGTCGTAAGCGCTTCGCGACTTGTTAGAGATACCTGCACGCCTCGAGCTATTGGTATCAAGCAAGTCTTCCATCATCGTGCGAACGTCTTCCAGGAGTTTCTGCGCATTGGTATTACAATTTGCCGACCTCTCGATCGTCACGAATTTGCCGTGTGGATGGTATAGTGGCGATTCCGGTATCGTAGCGATCAAAGGATATGTTTTTATCGCCTGCATCTCGCAGTGGTCGACGTACATCGGAGTGGGTGGGGTTTCTTGTAAAACTGCAGTCGCAAGATTTGCCCATGAGACTGCAGATGCTAGCTGACCATTCACACCCAAGTTTCGGAGCCCGCCGCGTTGGTTAATCATCGTTGCAATTCCGTTCTGATGGAAGCGTAGACCTACGTCGGTCCGACTTATGACATCTCCCAGTATAAGTTGGCTGACGGCAATGATGTTGTGGTCTGCGACACTCTGCTCCGTGTTCGTAAGATTTCCACCCACAAAATGTATGACATCCTGACGCAGGGCTGCCGTCTCCAAACTCTCTACTTCGCGCTTGTGGATGACATCATCGTATGCGGAAGCCATGTAGAGGGTGCTGAGGAAGGTGTGTGGGTGGTCAAGACATTCAGGAATCCAGTGTTTTCCCAG